TCGACCTAATACTCCTTCTAGCTACAATAATTCATACAAAAAATGGAACCAATATAAAAATACTACGGGAAATAAAACAAATTCCAAGAAAATTAACTTCCACAACAATTTACTAATTCTCTTAATTACAATACTCATAGTAAACGGAATTACTCTGCTTGCTATATATAACAACAAACACCTATACATTTTAAACTGTGTTCTACCATCCATTATTCCAACACTTTATCCTCTTGACAGCCTAACAGCCGATCTGCGTCATGTTAAATTCATCGAGGCTTCGTTGTGCAATTCCAAAAGCTCGTAAAAACGAGTTCTCTCCATTCCTCAGCCTCGAAACTCGGTTTTCTAAACACGAAACATCTCGTGAGCCGCACGCAAGTTGCGTCAATCGACATAAAAATCGGTCGTGAACAAAAGGTGACCTGGGTAAATGTAGCGGGTACATGGAAATCAAAGGGTTTAAATTTAATTGGAGAGTAACGTGATCAACAGTGCACGTTGGAGGGGAGTACGTTCGACACGGATAAAATTACCGTAGCCGCATTTTCTGCGCTGACAGTTTTAACAAAGGTAGACCGATTCCAGAGTAAACACTAATGAGGTCTCTCGAAGAACAAAAAGCAAGAACTTTATCCCAGGTAGCAACAGGCTTCGCTTGATATGTGTGACGAATCTACAAGGTTCTCTCTCTTACGCGAGAACATGGCTTGAAATCAAAGTTTCACGCTGAAAATTACGGCTTTAGTCGATTCTAAGAAGAGAGATGTGTACACAATCTCGTTGCTCTTAACCGTTCGTGCGGCTGCATTTACTATATTTCGTTATACGTAGCATCACGTAAATTTTTATGTAAATGATAGTATTGGATGAAATGTGTGCAATGTTGAATGTTAAATTTCCCTTTCGGAAAAAGGTACTTTTGTAACATAAAGAAAGAAAAAATTGTGTGGTAATTTAAAGCAAAGCACATTTCGAAGAGAATCGTTTTTCAAAAAATATCGACAGATCAAATTTGCACACTGGGACTCTTTACCAATTTTTATGGGACATTTTTTTTAATCACTTCGTTTATATGTATAAACATCGAGCTAAACAAAAAGAGGTGGTTTTGAAAGAAATAAAAATAAAAAACAAGAAATAGAAAAATTTATTTATAGATATGTTTATAATTGATGTAAAATGATAATTTATTACGCGTATAGATATATTATATTATATTATATGGAAATGTAGTATGTCCTGAAATATAATTCTTATTTTCATAAAACATCATGCAAGTAATTTAGCATGTTCACTGTCAAAATTAAAATAGGAAACCGCTTCTTTCTTGAGAATCTCATCTTATTTGTATCTGAACGCCTTACAAAGTTCTTCTCAGTTAAAAATAAATATGATCGTTATAATCATCTCTCAAGTTACGAACAGAATATCTAAGTTTAAGAACTTCCTATTAAATAGAATCTACATTTCCATTTGAAACATTGACACTGAACTTGAAACCACGTAATCCTCGCAGATATAATTATATTTCACATTCAACTAATGATACACATGTACAATATTTCTCCAACGATAAAATCCTGATCTTATGATGATCTTAATAAACTACAATGTTTCTGTACTAATTAAAGCATTTAATAGATTTTCGGATAAAATATGAAAAAAGTGTTTGTTATAATTTTATGAAATAAAGTAAAATATACTTAAAATAACGGAAGAAACGTAGTTTTGAAATAATTTTATAAAGTAAACAATTTGTAAAATTATTATTTTACTAACAGTCGTATTGTACTAATTTGCAAAAGTACAACAAAGTTGTCAAAATTACACATATCTAATATTTTGTTAATCAAATATGGATTTGTATAATTTTAAAGTAATATCTATGGAAAAAACAACTAGAAAATAACGTGGTGTATTATTTATACGCAAAATGAAATAAATAAGGAAGATAGAAAAAAATGTTATTCCAAAGATTTTGTATGTATAATATTATTATTTTTTAAAATATAATTTAAACTTTGAAACTAAAATGTGATAATATTCATATTTATAAAAAGAAACGTAAATTTGTATGAGTAAATAAATGGAAACTAAATATTTATTCTCATCTTCATTTGTATTTTACTTGTATTGTTTATTAAAAGGGAAAATAACTAAAAGGAGTGTGTGTGCATTTTAGATAAGAATTTTTTTAAGTAAATAAAAAAATTGGTAATCCAGCCATATTCAAAACCATATTTTTTTGGTTTTATTAGTAGACTGCAGATTTTTATGCGTGAATAAGGAATTAGTTATTAATAATAGACTGATGAATTGTTCTGCTGTTTCCGTAAAGGAGATATAGTACATTAAAATTTAAAATGTTCGTGGTGTTATATATATCTTCTGGCCCATAAATGATACTATATTATATTTTCGAATCATTTTAAACATTTTACGAAAACTTTATGTAAGATTTATTTGATACGAACATTCAAGTACCAAATAATGCAAGATTCAAGTCCGTGTTTTATTTGGGTCGGAATCCGCACGACTAAATTACATTTTCTTATCCTGGCAGAAACGTTTTTCATTTTTCTTCTTTTTTAACTGAAATAATCATAACCTCTGGCTAAAGTAGAAATGAGTTCCGCCCTTCTACGCTGACTTCGAATGTACAGACCTTGCTTCTCGATCGGAGTGACGTGGAATTTTCTGGTGTCCGTAAGCAATTTCGTTTTTTCGGAATTTCAATCTTTTTTAAATCATGGAATCCCATTGGATAATCACCAACAATTACGTCGGTTGCCTGAAACCAGTTCTGCAATTATGCAGCAACTTACCACTTGATTTTGTGTTCGTATTTACGCGTTTCTGAAACTGGCACCATCATTTACCTTTTCCTTTTCTTATTTCTATTAAACGATGCTACAGGGAATAAGGATGAATGATGCTCGTTGCATTGACATACTTTGTAACGCATAACGATTTGGAACAATAATAAATTTCGAATTTCTAATTAGTAAGTCAAATGCAAGTTAAATTAAACGCAATTAATATACGCATATACACTGTCGCTCAAAAGTATCCAAGCATTTTCTTGTTTCTGAGGGAATATAATTTAATTACAAAATCATAAAAGAAGACGATGCCTTGATCTATAATTATACATAAATAATAATCTATACATTTTATTATTGTATCATTATAACGTGATAAACTTGATTTTTAATAACCGTTACCTGAGGCGGAGCACGTGTGGGATGTTATTAAAGTACTCGATGTTTAACTTCAATAATGTTTATTTCGATGACTAGTGCGCGTCATTTTCAAGTTGTAACACTTTGAACCGTCACTCTGTTGGATTTATACAGGTGGTTGGTAAACAAAAAAAGAAGTCAAAAATATAGAATAAAAATTAAAAAAATTTTTTTTTTAATTTTTAGCGCACCGAGCGAAAATTCAAAGTCGATTTTCTCGAAAACAAAGCCTCAAACGAACAATTTTTGTTCTATATTTTCGACTTCTTTTTTCGCGTAGAACCACCCCCTTTCCGCTTGTGCCACCAGTTACCAACCACCCTGTATAATAAAATGTCCATCATCTTATACAAAGTTCAATTTCCTCACTTTATTCGTGAAACGTTCGAACTGCGACGCGAGATCACCGGCGATCTATCGGTTTCGCGATTTCTTGTGTCTCCGCGACAGCGAGAGCGCGTTTCGCAGGCCATGCGGCCAACACGTGCGCTTCAACCCTGGAACTTTCTCTACGGCCATGTACTAACACACCTATAAATATGTAAAACGAAGCATTAACATTTGCATAAATAAAACAATTTACAGCATCTATAACCAAATTTCCAATATTTGGAATTAAAAATGATTATTGCTTTGCATCTTTAATTAAAGTTTGTAATCAAAATTCAAGAACATGTTCAGGGACGATTGCAAGTCATTGACCAGAGTCGATCTGATACCAGCTAAAGCAACCTATCGATATGTATGATCGATGGTAAGATTACGAAGAGATTAAAATTTTTTATTTTAAAATCCCTCGAACGATAAGATCGATACATGTACTCGTATCAAGCCGCTTAACTCTTCGCTTGACTTCTCTGCTTCAATCGCCTTTGGCCAAAACTATTTTCTATGATTTTTGTTTTATCCTCATAATCCTCGCCGCCACTTCTGTAGAACTTCGTTTCCGAGAAATTATCGAAAGTCTAACATTTAATTCGTTATAATCGAAACACTTATAACTATTGACTGTTCTAAGATGCTTTCTCGATCACGAAATGAACAATTATTCGACGACGACCTTAATATATTATATGTACGTCTTCATCCACAAGTAGCAGGACACTTACAAAAGAGGAAATAAATCTGAGAAATTATTTGCCAGCCATTAAAACTTTTATTACTATTATTTCGTTTGTATTATGAATTATTCATATATTTTATATTATAATAAGAATCTCATAAATAATAGAATTAAATTCTCTTTTCGTTTATATCTGTTTCTCAATCACTGTTCGAACTAGTATTGGCATTTATATTAGGTCATCGCATAAGTTCGTGCCGTTTTTCGAGCGGTTATATATGTTATTTTTTTTAAACACCTATGAATCGTTGTCTTAGGCATTTTCAGAACATTTGACATCTCTTGAACCGTCAAACTTCGTGATTTTTCAACAAGATCCCGAATTTTATCTTCGTCTGTCTGAGGAGGACGCCCGGAGCGTTCCTCGTCTTCTAAACAGAAATTCCCAGCTCTAAAACGTTGGAACCACTTCCTACAGGTGCGAGATGAAAGCGCATTTTCTCCGTAAACCGCACATATGTTTTTCGTGGCAATTGTTACAGAACTTCCTTTCCGAAATTCATATAACATGAGATGTCGAAAATGGATACGCATTTCACTCATGATTTTTTACTGTTAGAAGTCACTGTGTTCGCTATATTACGGTCTTACACCCACGAAAATCTGCTCTAGCCAGTTCTCGATCAGCTGAGCTCAAGTGCATCGGTCCCTTATCGCCGAATGTTTATAAATCGACACATGAAATGTATACACAAAAGTCGGCACGAACTTATGGGATGACCTAATATTATTAGATTTTTTATTTTATTGTATCTGCAGTTCCACACATTCTGTAAATGATTCCACGAATTAGATTCAAATTTCTGCAGGTTCCATGAATTCCCTAACCAATTGTGACGCGTGAATTAGAAAATTGGAAGTTTTTTTATTATGCATTCCAAATCGTAATATTTCTCATTTTGCATAAACATAAACACATAATTCTGATTAATTGATCATTCCTTTGTTGATCTACATTATGATGTCCTAATATTTATAAATAATAGTAGTATATGTGTCGACACTGTTCTTTTATCAATATTTCTTAATAAATCATTATTTCAAACATTAAATAATATATTTTAGACACTTTTAAGATAAAAGTAGACGAAAACTGAAATTTAAAAAATTTAAAAAAGCATAGGAATCGTAATAACTCAACATTGGTGGAAGGATGAAGTGTATGAATATGTAATTAGGCATTGCCCAGGTTAGTTAGTCAGAGGCTTTCCAACCTGGTATGATTTATGGCACGCACTTACCTGTCCAGTGAAAGTTTGAAGCAAGTTATGTAGGTATCCAACGATGTATAGTAACTTGAAATCAGTTATTGGGTATCGAGAAATGGATTGAATAGAATGAGAGACATTAGACATAGCGAGTAATTTAAGGTTGCCTTGTTATAAAAATAGAGTTATTTCCCTAGAGAGTTTGATAGATATTTTAATTTTTCTTGAATTACAATCGTATTGACCCCGAAGAGAATCAGGACCGACTCAAGTTAAACAGTTTTTTTTTCTTTTTATTTAATTCTTTACATTCACAATTTGTCCAGTTTGGACATTTGATAGAATTTTTTAGCTGTTTGATTATCATGTGGCTGGCTACCCCCAGTGGGATACCATGTTCGCGTTTGTTAGGTTGTGTCCTTTGTGGGGTTTGCTGGGTGTTTCCTTTTCAGTCTTCTATCCATGTTTGAGGTGTTGATCGTTTCCGCAGCTAGCCTCGTTTGGGTATTTCCTGTTCTTTCTTTGTATTTTTCTGTGTATCTGCTAATTTCCTCTTTGACCGTTTCCCAGATCCTTCCGAATATCCTCGTTTCTAACGTACCATGGGGCGTTTACTATTGTCCTAAGAATTTTAACTTGTATTGTCTCTATTTTGTTTATATGGCTCATTGCTGCCGTCCCCCATAGTGGTATTCCGTACGTCCAGATTGATTTTATGATCGTTTTGTATATTTTTAATTTATTTTTTATGCTTAATTTGGATTTTCAACTTGTTAGCCAATGCATTTGTCTCCTTGTTGTCTGTATGTTGTCTATTATTGATTTAGTATGCTGTTTCCATGTGAGTTGTGCTTCTAGGTGGAGTCCTAGGTATTCGACTTGCCTTGTTTGCGGTATGTACGTGCCATTCAGTAGGATATTTGGTGGTGTCTGTTTTTGCAGTGTGAATGTAATATGGTTACATTTATCGGGGTATGCTTTTATTTGTTTGTCTTGCAGCCACTTTTCTATTTTTGTGGCACGTTCTTGTAGTAATTTGACTACTGTTTCTGGGTTAGTGTGCCTGACTAGTACAGCTGTGTCGTCCGCGAGTGTCAGTATTTTGCTATTGGTAGTTGTTGGTATGTTGGCCGTGTATTGTGTGTATAGTATTGGTCCTAAGACGCTTCCTTGCGGAACCCCTGCCTTGATGTCTTTGACTTCGGAATATCCTTGATTTTTATTACGAAGATTTTGCTGCTTAAGTAAGATTTTATTAGTTGGTATATTGAGTTAAACAGTAGCGGATTTTGAATCTTGTAATAATTTTGATATTCGTTATCACGAAGCTAAACTTCTAATTTCAATCATGCGAAATTAAGCGCAGATATTGCTTATTATAACATTACGTAATATGAATTTTTTTTCTTATATTTATCTAGAATTCTATAATATTTACCTGTCTTAATCTACGATTTCAAACGAGATAATAATTCTTAAAGATTTTAATAATCTCCTAATAATATTTGAGGCTTATCTCATTTCCTGGTTAGGTAATACTTATGAATGAGGATGCAAGCTTCTTGTAACTCTAATTGGTTTTGCGAAACAGCATTCTAAAGTACAATTTTTATTCTCGATCTGTCTATTCTGTATCATCGGAAGTGGAAATCTGGATCTTCTTACACAATTGAATTAGTATTATCGTTACTATCATATTTTTTCGTTAAACGTTTGAAACATTTACTAATGTAATTTTTAAATATTTGTATATGATCAAAGATATTTATGTAAGCTGTAATAGATCATTATTAGCATTTAGAATTTCTTATATGACAGTAACAAATTCTAACATCAAATAGAACATTCAAATTGTAGATGAAATGAAATTTTGCAAAACTCGCAATCGAATTTCGTAAATTACAAATTTGGCCATTCTAATCGACTAATAACAATTCACTAATATTATTAATTGGTAAATTATAGTGAAAAATGGTTAATAAAGGACGTGTTAACGAATGACCGAACGAAGTTCTGGTGAACTTTCCTATTGATATTAAAAAATTCCAACTGATATGAGGGTTTTGTCATACCACAAGACGCGAGTATTTCTCAACGTCAGCTATTATCCGCTAGTCCGAATGTCACAATGGTGCTGAATGTTCTAGCGACATACAAAAGACCGACAGCGGCCAATTTACACCAGCTCGTCTGCATTTTCTGCTACAATTCAGCAGACCGCTGAAACTTGCGAGAAATTCCCGTGTAACAAAATCTGGTCGTTTGCGTCGAGCATATATCACAATGGCAATTTCAATTGAAATTACAAGTTAATAAAAGTTTAACGGCTCATAATTTCTCTTATGAAAAGAACTGTCGCATTAAAATTTTATACATTTAGAAACTCCTTGCACAAAATGTACGTAAAGATAAAATTACCTAAAGCTACGACCATGTTGATAAAAGTTAGTACATTTATAAAAAAAATAAAATACACTTGAAAAGTGATAGAGAAACCTATTGACATTTTTCAGAGTCATTACCTTTATTATTTAGGAGTTTGTGAATGTACAAATTTGTAGCGAAACAAGAGTCAAAGGACGACGCGAGTCGAGAGCGACTCATGCTGTTGCTTTATCTCAGGACATTGACTCAGCCTTAGCGCAGAAATGCAATGATAAACAAACTGCGAGCAAAACAATGTCGCCGCTACATGCAACCATCGAATGAAGACGAATTTCGATTTTCCGACTCTCCCCCGACCAGTATAAATAAACGGACGCGATCTCGAGCGACAGAGTATCGAACAGTATCGTAGAGTATCGTACAGTATCTGCAGAGTATCTCCGAGTATCTCACGAGTATTTATCGAATTACGCGACGAGCATTAACGAGTATTTATTCCGCGCTTTTATTCTGCGATTTATATTTTGTACTAACGACTCATGTATACGGCTGTACATTAATTTATTATTTTAAATATATTCGATTGTTTCAACAACGAGCAATTTCGTCCTTTAAAAATGAATGGCACATTAATGGCAAATTAATAAATAGAGGTGTTATTTATTATGATTTTGTAATGTTATATTAAAAATCACTATATTAAGTATCACTGCTTGAGATAGCGTTAGTAGTCTTTATGTCAGCTTAGAAGAACTTTCTTTATCTAATTGCTATATATACAGGGTAGTTGGTAACTGGTGGTACAAGCGGAAAAGGGGGTGATTCTACGCGAAAAAAGAAGTCGAAAATATAGAATACAAATTTTTCGTTCGAGGCTTTGTTTTCGAGAAAATCGACTTTGAATTTTCGCTCGGTACGCGTGCACTTTATCGCGTCTCGTTATAACGGATCTCACCGTAGATCGTTGTCTCGATGGAAAAATTAAAAAAAAAAATTTTATTCTATATTTTCCACTTCTTTTTTCGCGTAGAATCACCCCCTTTCCGCTTGTACCACCAGTTACCAACCACCCTGTATATGTGAAATATGCATTTAGGTTGCAATTAGTTTTGAAGTGGAGACAAGCGAGCAAGAACATTGAATCTTTTGCGAAAATATACATTTCGATGTAAGATAATCGAATTTTTTGTAAAATTATACATTCTATAGGTTATATGTATATATGAAGCAAGAAATTGCTCAAACAGAGAATATTTGCAATAATTGCTATTTTTTCAACTAGTCAACGAGTAGTATTTCGAGTAAAATATTCTATATTTGTATTTCAGTTCGATATTCTATAATTATATACTTTTGTATATTTGAAATATTTTATTTAAAGAAACAGTTTATTTTCATTTTTGGATTTTATTACTCCCGATTTAATTATCGATACCGATAATTTATCCCTGATAACATATGTACGAATACATCTGTCATCGTGTCTGCGTATTAATACATACCGATACCAAATATCGATACAATTCAAACGCATCGCCATCGGTAGTTCAAATGTTTGATCTACTAGATACTAGAATTTATTAGTTACCAACCTGTATATTACATACATAAATTTTTTTTAAGCAATAAAATAGTTTCACGAGCTTTGTCAAATATATATGCCGATTTTTAGTACGTATTAGCTTTCAAAAATAAATTTTATCATTAGCATGTTTCAGTGTATAAAAGGATACGTGATAGCCTTATTCTTTTATTCATAATTTTGTGATTGGATTATCTCCTGTCAAGAATAAGCAAAATGTGGATCCTTTTGAATGCTCATGTACACATATATTCAATATTATAGTAAAAATCTCAGCAATGGTACACTAGCTTGTTAAATAAATTCATATCGTTTTTGACAATCGATATGTTCAATTGGATAAATGGTGAGATTAGAAGATTATTTATTACAAACTTTTGTCAATTAACAAAAAATGGGTTTCAGATCGTTTTTCATTTTTACTATTAATTTATCGCTTTGCTTTGATAAAAATCGTGTAACCTAGCGATTAGAAGTGCTGTAAATATCAATTTTGCAAATTCTTTGATCGAAGATTTACATGTTTTACCTGAAAATTCTTCCAATATATTTCATTACCCGAAAATAT